TGCCATTCTGACTGAGTGCTCAAAAAAGCTAGTGTGTTTCAGGGTTATAGCAGGATAAATCACTAACAGGATTCTGGCTTATCTTTCTGTTCATGGAGTTTCAGAATCAGGTTGTTTGCTTGCTTTGTTTTAGCAGCTGTAGAGTCAGTGTGGTGTAGTAGTTTGAGTATTCGAGTACAACTGTGCAGACCAAAGTACAATTCCCCACTCAGTCAGAGAAACCCACTGGGTGACCTTGATCAAGTCACACTTTCTCAGTCTCAAATGAGAGCAAAGGCAAACGCCGTCAGAACAAATCTTGCCACCAAAACACTAGGACAAGATCATTTTAGGATTGCACTAAGACAAAGGCACACAAGAAGGACAAATTAAAGAATCGGCATTTTAAACCCATAGTTTGTTTTCTTTTTTAAATGTATCCTTACTGAGCTCTGTCACCAATCATATTTCTGCCTTTGTGGTAGTGCTATTTTTGGTACCAAAGTGAAAGATTTTACAATTTCCATCAATTTTTGTCTGCTGGTTTTGGTTCAAAGTTCCAGACTGTAAAGATAGTGGGTATTTTTTTAAAAAAAAATAGTGGGTATTTTTTAAAAACAAAAAACAAACATATATTCATAAAATTCAGAAACTTGTTAAAGCATTTTTTTATTTTGAAACATTATAGATTTTTGGACTACATGTGTCTCATATTTACATATGGAATTCAGATGTTAATTTTATATTAAAATGCTTCTAGAATACAGAATATATGCAGATTATTTTTCAACTTTCAGTAAATCAGAGCTTCTGGTTTTAGTTATAGGCTATGTGACATTGTTTTCCTTTGTTTTCATTAACATAGATCATGTGTCTCCCTTGCTTTAATAAACTAGAAAATTATATTTTGGAATGGAAACTTTGATATTTGATCCCAGATTGTCCATATAGCTTTTTCACATAGCATCTGTGTTACTTTGTGCTGAGAAGATAATTAAGAAAGGGAATTAGAATTGAAAAGCAAAATAATAATAATAATAATAAAAAAATAAAAAATAAAAAAAATCTCACAATACATTTTTGGTTAGAAAGCATGGTAAATATTCAGTAGTGCTTTCAAACATTTCATAGAAAAAAAACCATTCCAAAATCAGGCCAGGGTTTAAATTCATTAAATAAAAAATAAATGATAACTTATGTATTGCTAAAATAATAAAATTTAATAACCCCTTATAAACACAATAAGGGAGGACCAATACTATTTCTGTTAACTAATGCTTTAAAAACCATACTGTTGATAAACTCATCAGTCGCTCTGTTATATCAGTCCTCTAACCTTTTACAAAACTGTTGGCAATATCTGGTGGTTAAGATGAGAACATTACATGAAACTTAATGTGGAACTATTTCCTCTGAAGTTTCTGAATAATTGGAAGCTGACAGTTTTTGGTTTGTTGCCATGATATATATACTATAAGTGTAATGAGCAATACAAGCATGACTACCAAAGGTTGGCAACATAAGACCAAACATGGTAAAACTGGAGAATTCTTTTCCTGGGAGAGTCAGTTGTCATGTCTTGTCAGATGTTAAAGACGTGTCTTCCTATGGAAGGTGGAGAGATAGTAATGGGAAATATGAAAATAAAGACCATCCTCTGTATCTCCCCATATACCCTAACTCTGCCATAAAAATAAAAGGCTTACTCACTACTTCCTGGTACTTGGCAGGAAATAGCATATACTTCTCTGGTAGGGAGCAGATTTGGCACAAACATTGTTTAAACAAATGTATCATGAGCAGAGATTTGTTTACATGATCAGTTTTTCTCTCCTGTCATTGCAATTTCATCCCCATCCATCTCCAAAATCTGCTGGGGAAGTGTTCTCCCACCCTATAGAGCACATTTTGACGGTGTTCATTTTGTCCTGTTTCTGTGACTCAGTCTGTTTGGTTGTTGCTGCTGCTGCTGTTGCTGTGGTTGTGTGCCTTCAAGTAGTTTCTGACATGGTGACTTATGATCACAGATTTTTCAATGGCTGAAAGAGTGAGATTTGCTGAAGGTCACCCAGTTGGTTTTTATGCCTGAACTGGGATTCAAACTCTGGTTTCCAGAGTCATAGTCCAACACTCAAACCATTATGCCATGTTGGCTTCTACTGATAGATGCCTAAATCCTGTTGTTAATCCTAACTGGAGTAGATTCATTGAATCACTTGAAATTTATCTTCATGTTGACTTATGTTAACAGTTGATTGAATAGGTCTATTCTAGCCAGGATGCCAGCCAGGATATATTCAATGAACCCAGCATCTCAGGGTCTTAGGAATTGGGATGTAAATCTTCACATGTGTCATTCCTATATATGGAGTGAAAAATTTCAAAAGGTTTCTCTCTGGTAGGTGCATTTAGAAAGCGTTTTGCATATTTTCCTTTTCTTTTTTTCTTGCATTTTGGGATTGTTTGCAAAACTTTGTGTAAAGTAGCATATACTTTTCAGTATTTATAAATAGGACTGAGGTTCATAATCCATATGTGTGTGATTGGATCTATGTAACAATGTGTGTGTGGCAAACCTATCATGGAATTTTCTTGGCAAGAGTTGTTCAGAAGAAGTTTACCATTGCCTTCCCCTGAGACTGAGAGCGTGGCTTGCCCAAGGTCACCCAGTGGGTTTCACAGCTGAGTTGGGAATCAAATCGTGGTCTCCAGAGTTGTAGTCCAACACTCAAACCATTATGCCAGGGACCGGCAACCAATGGCCCGGGGGCCAGTTAAGGCCCCGGGCCCCGGACTTACCGGCCCAGGCCGAAGGTTGCCGCCGCCACACGCCGCCACCGCCTGCCGCCATCGGGGCGCATTTTTGGCGGCGCATGTCACGGCCACCATTTTGGAAGTCAAAATGGTGGTTGCGACACATTTGCGCATGCACAGTACTTTTGCGCATGCGCAAACACGTTGTGGCCACCATTTTGACTTCCAAAATGGCGGCCGCGACATGCGCCATGGTGGCTGTGGCCGCGCGTGCTATGGCGACAGCCGAGATAGCAGCGTGCATGGCGGCATCATGTGGGGGGGGTCATGCTTGGTGGAGGAGAGTGTGCTTGCGTGCGAGCGCCACCATTCCCCCCCCCCCTCGGCCCAGCCGAGACCTGGGCTATGGGAGACCGGCCCAGGTCTCAGAAAGGTTGCCTGTCCCTGCATTACGCCATGCTGGTTCCTATAACAGTGTGAAACAATATAAACCACTGTATAATACCAACAGCCATCACTTTATAATGGAAGTGAATAACCAGGGATAAATTAACCACTGTAGCTCCATCCACATTGCAGAAATAATCCAAGATGACACTGCTTTAACTGCCATAGTTCAATACCATGGAATTCTGGGAAATGTAGTTTTGTGTGTAGTTTTTTCTCTCTGTGTCAGAGAGCTCTGGTACCACAACAAACTACAGCTCTTAGAATTTCATAGCACTGAATCATGGCAGTTAAAAAGGTGTCATCCTGGATTATTTCTGCAGTGCAGATGCACCCTGTGTTTCAAGGAAGTAAAGCATAGGAGCAGAGCCAATTGGGCCATTGCTGTATTGTAATTTTCTAATTTGATGAATGAGTCCATGGTGACCTCTCTTCTCAGTTCCTTTAATATTTTCCAGTGCTCAAAACATTAATCTCTGCATGTTTCCCCATAAATATTAGTCTTTTTGTAATTTATTTGGGCCACAGTTTTTTAAGTATAATTCTTGGTAAATTCCGATTTTCTCAGTGGTATTTTCAAATAGACCTTGTTTAGGCTTAGTCCTATAAGGCTGTTGCTCAAATTTAATAAGAAGGATAACAGATGCCAGAAACAGAAAGGGGTCAAAACTGAATTATATTTATTTGTGCTACAGAATATCCTATTCATGAGATGATAAATGTGAACCATATATTTTGGAAAGCTGGAGTTTAAAAAAAAAATGCTGGCACAGAAAAGAGAAACAGATGACATATAAATACTTTAGGCTTGGGCAAAAGCATGAAAAAAATATAATTTCCACTATATTTAAGAAAAAGAGCTGCTACATTATGCTTTTAAGGATTAACAGAAAGATCATGTTGTCTTTCTCTTTCTTTTTTAAACACTTATTTTGGCAGGATTTAAGGAAACCACTGGAATCAATAGTACCCACTGGATTTTACAGAGATAAGCACTTTTTATGGATCGGCCTATAAGTCTTACTTTTATTGCTGGAAAAATTGTTTACTGCTCATGGCCTTTCCAAGGGAACACTGTCAATTGAAGCAGTGCAAATAATTTCAGATAAATGGTAACTTGGTCTAACAATGAGTAGTGGTGCTTTGAACAAATAACTTCTAATTAACCTAGTTTCAGAGTAAAGAATTGTCACACAAGACTTCTTTGAATGTAAATCTTCACTTAAGTCATGCACACAAAAATGAATAGTTTCAAATGTTCCTTACTGGTGGATGAAATTAGAAGAGTTTGGGTACTTTTTATGATTCTTTGCATTTGGGGACTTTTTGTGGAAAAAATTAATTTGTTTGTTTTTTGGCTAAAGGATATTTTTGTGCAAATTACAAAAAAAAAACCCATATATGCAAAAATCATCTCAATGAATGACTATTTTAATGGGTTGTCTTGGTATGTTGAGGTGCCTTCTATCTTCAAGAACAAAAACCAAAACATAATTTTAAAAAATGTAGGTGTTCTTTGCATCTCTACCAGGAAGATGCTTGTGAATATATAGGGATTAAAAAAAAGAAAGCATGATGTGATACCTTGCAGATTTTAGAGGAACAGTGGCAATGGCAAAAGCATTGTAAACTGTATTAGGCCCTTAGAAATGTTGTTTATGATGTTTACTCTATGATTTGTCTTCAGATCCATAAAAGCAACCCACCTATGAAATTGTCTATTTTAATCAGCAGATTTTGTTAATCCTACATGAAAATGTTCATATAAATATGTATTTTAATGTGCATAGTATTTTGAGGTAAAACATGATTTTAAAACATGAACTAAACCATGGGATAAACTTGTAAGAATCACAAAAGCCTTACAAAAGGTGTTATTGCAATGGATTTTAAAACATATTCTTATTTGCTGCCAACACCATCAAGAAATGTGCTAGTAAACACAATATCTTTTTCAGATTTATCACTAGTTTTTCTCCATCTGTATTATATGTTCTGTGGCCAGAATTTGATGATAAACTTCCATAAGGTCCTGTTGTGTCTTCTGAATTTGGCACCTGCTCTTCCCCTTGTAGGCACTGGTGCAAGTATACTGTTGGTATATACTTTACCCAGTGACCTTCCATAAATAGTAGAAGCCTGAAGGGTGAAGTAATTAACTCAAATAATGAATGCTTAACTCCACTGAATAAACACAGTGGCCAAGATCCTGCATCAGAGACTGTGATGTGTAACTTTACAATGACAGAGATAAGTAGCTGACACAATATGTGACCATGCTAGAGAGCTGCAACAAGGCACAACAAGGCATCATGTAAAATTCCCATTGCACAACAGGGGTTGCAGCTGTGCAACAGGACATAAGCATTGGGAGATGTTATCCATCAGGACATTTGCACATTGATACATATTGCACAGTAGGACACATTCTACAGTGGGACACATTTCACATCAAGACATGTCATGCATCAAGACATTGTGCATCAGCCACAGGGCTGATTCTACTTGTGTCATGGTCTCAACAGAATAGTATGTCTCTGCTTTCCTCCTAAGAATATAACTAGTACCCAATGGTGCAGTTCAGCTTTATATGATTGTAAATAATATCTAAATGATGATGACAATGATGATTTATTACTGACCTTTTCCAATGGATCCAGGCAGAGAATAGCAACAGACCAGCAAATACACAACATCTGTTAAAAACACAGCATCAGTTAAAACACAAATCAGTTTAAGAGAAAAAAACAAGACACATATGTAGTAAAACAATTTACATTTAAAATTCATCATTTAAAATTACAATTTAAAAATCAGCTGGATATGCTTGCAGGAAGAGAATGCTCTTTAATGCTGTTTTAAATTTGGACAGCTTATTCAGATGTCCAATCTCTTCTAGAAGGTTGTCCCTCAGCCTAGAGGCAGCTGAAGAAAAAAGTCCTCTGGCTGAGAGTTGCCAACCTAGTCCTGGCTGACTGGAGGAGTAAGTGTCCCCAAGAGAACCTGAGATTATGGATCAGATTATACGGGAGGAGGCAATCCCATAGGTAACTTGAAACCAAACAATATAGGGGTTCAAGGATTATAACCAACATTTTATACATTGATTGGAAATCAATTGGCAGCCAGTAGGGTGATTTTAGTATTGTAATATGATCACTCCTGGATATTCCAGTATCCAATCTGGCTCCCATGTTTTTCATTAATTGAAGTTTCCAAACGTGGTACAGAGGTAACCCAATGTGTACACATTGCAAAAGTCCAGCCTTGAGGTTACCAGCACATGCACTACCATATTTAGTTCCTCCAGCTCTAAGTAGGGGCGCAGCTGGCCAAAACTACCAACAGGATGCCAGCCAGTGTCCTCTCCTCTATGGCTCAGCTCACCTGGAACTACAAAATGTAATAATTTTACTGTATCTAGTACTGTAATAATGGGCACATCTGGGAAGAATATGGGAGAGGGATCTGTTTTAGACTGTGATGTGGCCAATATTAACTGAGGCTCAGAACACACAGGTCAAAAGAAGTGCCTTCCAGCTGCTTTGTGAGCATGAAATTTAGATGCCCCCAAAGTGGCTGGAAGCTGCTCCAATGCTGTGAAATGGAGCCCAAGCCAGCTTCAAAGGGGAGTCAGTTTAAAATGATTCCTTGCCTGCATGGCTTGGGACCGCAGACAGCAGCCCATTTTAGAGTGGGCTGTGCAGTCTCCATGGTCCCAGCCTGATTGTGGCTGTTTTCAGGCCATCTGCTTTGCCCCCATATCTAATATCCAGTGATTTCAGAAGATAGAGACTTTCTTACATCTTGTATTGAAGAGTATATTTGGTGTTTTCAGTGAGATGATAGCGTGTGTCTTCAATAGGTTGAAATTCTATTTACAGTTGTAAGCACTTGCAAAAAGCTGCAGTTCTATATTTCCTGCAGTGTACCTCTGTTGAAATAGTACTTTG